AATAAGATTACGCTTGGTTTATTCGCCAGCGGCGAAGAATATTTACGAGGTGTAATAAGTCGCGCGCGAGGGAGTATGTTTACGCGGTACAGCTGTTTGCAAATGCATGCGCGTGTTGCGGAGACAAAGAACCACGCTATACGTTCTTTGACAGCGCGCTCGTCAACTTGATGCACCGCGATTCTAATTATCTAAGTCTGTCACGGCCACAAACACAACTGGTGCAACGAGCACAATGGGCTCAATATCCGGTCGAAGAAATCGCGATGCGCGACCGGCGGATATACCGAGGACGCGCAAACCGCCAATACATCCCCGATAAGTCTCGAGAATTAATTGCGAGAGTCCTATAACTTAATCCCGAAATTTTAAAATCTCACTAGCACGTAAAGAGGTCAGTTATGTAAACTATAAAAAGATAACCGGAAATATATATCTAAACAATCGTATTGTTGGACACAATTCATAGTGATGCATAGAGATGCACTCTCTTTAAAACATCGCAAGAATACCTGTTAACCAATTTCTATTACTAAAAGTTTTAATAAATGCTAAAATTCAATATTTCCTGGTTGACCGAGAGGGGGATATATTTTTAAAATTTGCATCTACGCCCCCCATTCTTAGAGAAAGACGAAGAAACAAAATAGAAATGTAATCGATCTATTATTAATTAAGTTTTTATAAGTGAAATCAGTATTTCTTTTGGCTTAAAAAAAAAAAGAAATTATTTTTATATACTATATATTTTTTCATAACCTATTTTTGCTATTTATTAAATTAATTTTAAAAAGATTCTTGATTTTTAGAAAATTAAAAACATTTATTTGCAAATTCAAATATAAATCTTTTCTTTTTATTTTATTTTCAAAGATTATACAAATAATAGACAAATAATATACAGTTTATTGAAGATATATTAGCTTTTATTATAGATGTCAATAAGTGAAGTCAGCATTCTCTGTTGGAGAAAAATAATTCTCTTTGCGCAGCGCTAAGAACGTCGATATTTTTATTAGCTATTAATTAATTCTTAAGAAATCGAATGTCAGAAAACCTATGGGTGTAATCTCACTTTCGGGAACCCTTGTCGAGCTATTCTTAAAATACAGCATTTCGATTATTGAGCTGCGAACTCTTTACAATAAAATCACCCCATATCTCCTCGGCACAAGAGAGAATTATATTTAAAATGAAAAGAATGAATTATTTTTCGACTAAATATTTATTGATTTTTAAAGCTCGCAAAATACGTGCATTTTGATTATTAAGCTACAATCCCTTCATAAAAAAATCACCCCGCATCTCGCCGACAAAAGAGAGAACTATATTTAAAATGAAAGAAATTATTTTACGACCAAATATTGTTTATCGATTTATGAGCTTGAAAAATACGTATTTTTATTATTAAACTACAATCTCTTCATAAAAAAATCATCCCACATTTCGCCGGCACAAGAGAAAACTATATTTAAAATAAAAGAAATTAATTATTTCGCGACTAAATATTGATTCATAAGCTCGCAAAATACGTGCATTTACATACTGTTGAATTGCAAGAGTTTGCATAAAAGTTTATTCTTTGAATTTTGTATTTTACATTCGCAGCATTATGCATTTTTACTTTTTCCAGCATTTCTCTCTTGAGTTACATCAATTAAAGGGTTGTTTGGGGATTAAGGGGATGAGCTCAAAAATCGAAATTATATCAGTTTGAAAGCTCATAAATAGCTCCTAAATCTGCCGCAAAGATTGATTCAATATTTTTACTTTTACATGGTGAGGGGGTCGATATTGATTTAGCTCCCCACAAAAAGCATTAAGTTCCTGTCTGACGAACTCAAAATTTTAAATTTGCGGGATATGAAAGCTTATAAATAGCTTATAATTATGCGCTATTTGTTTTTTTTTTTTTTTGCAATTTTTTTTTTTTTTTTTTTTTTTTTTTTTTTTTTTTGCAAAGTGGGGGCCAGCTCGACAGGATTCTTAGACGCAACGCACATTATTCACGCGATGGAATAGATTGAAAAAAGAAAAAAAAAGGTGGATTCTCTCTTTCTGTCTTACATGTATAACTATTTAATATTATTCTCGTGATTTTCAAACGCAAAGCGTTCAGGTCGACCGCGTCGATAAAAATCTAAACGCACGTGAATAGATTTCGATACGACTGAACCTTTGAACGTGCGTTATTTTTTGTACGTCGAAGTAACACAATCTACATTAAAGAGAAACAGGTTTACGTATTTATTTCTATCACAAATTGGAAATGTCAAACGCAGCTAATGAAATTACTCGCGTTTTGCCTTTGAATTAAACAGTTTCGACTAGCCACTTTAAATATCTTGCTTTTTTTAGTAATATATTTTAATAATTTATTTAGTAAGAGAGAGAGAGAGAGAAATATAAAAATCATGTCGTCAATGTGATGCTGGAAATGGTATCACCCACAAGCCGTGTCGAAGCATCGATGAACAATCAATTCGAGCCTCAATCATGTCAATCTCAAGAACCATAAGATAACTTAATGAAAAATGATTATAGGGACAGCTATGATATATTGTACAATAGGCTTGTCCTGCTTACTATTTTTGCTACACTTTCCTGCGTTTTTCATTCACCCTCAAGGCAGCGATTTTATATTTAGCGATTATCTTCCGATACTATTTTATTGATATTTTTATATGTACTCCAGCCACATGGAATTGGCTCAAAACGAATCAAAAACTTGGAATCGACTCGACTCGCGTTTTATGAGGTACATTTCTAACTACGTTGCTTTCATGACAAATGGAAAGAACAAACAACCTTTTTGCATCGCATATTACATCTATTACGTTATTGTAGATCAATTTGAATGACATTACGTATTATTCTGCACGCGATATTGAAAATCACCCGAGTTACGAATCGCGTGAGCTTTTCGAGGAACATGGTATCACCCATGGGTCGTGCCGGAAGATGAGCGAGGATCGACTCGCCGTAAGGATATTATTCGTCATCCTCGTGATATCGAAGATATAAATTGTAGGGATAAAAGTATTTAGAACATCGTAAAATATCGAATATAAATAAATAAATAAATTAATTAATTAAAAAAAATATGTATATAGTGATGGCATTTATATATTTCGTTCGATTCTGACATATATGTTATATTCGCGATAATTTAATTAATCGTACCATCGTTAAAGATATCAGCATTCATTAATGATAAGGCTGTCATGGTACGTTCCGAATGAACGAGAAAACAGTCGGGACGCGTGATGTGTATAACAAGTCACAAAGAAATCTCGATCCTAGTCTAAGTTTGATCATTGTAAATAACAATATCCGTCGTATTTATATGCTCCTCGTCTTGGATCAATGCAACAATCTGCGTAGCAAATCGAGTCGGTCAGTCAGCGCAAGAATGCTCGCGCTCGCATGTAAACAAACGGAGCTGTCAGTCGGATCGATGTAAACGCCGGAGTAACAGCTGTGCCGCGCGTCGAGAGTTGTAGGCCGCGAAACGAACAAAGAACGACAAGAGAGAGAGAGAAAGAGAAGTAAGAGAGAAACTGATATAGAGAAAAATAGAGAGAGGAAGTGAAACAGCCGACTCACCGTAGAAGAAGCGAGAGGGTTTTGTTGTTGGCGCACTCGAGGATCTTCTTCTTCTCCCAACCCTCGACCGTTTTTACCCATTCCTCGCCCGGGCTACGCCAGTCCTTGGATATGAACGGCATCCCGAGGACGCGTGAGGACTGGCCGGGGTAGCGAGGGCAACACCGACGACGGAAGTCGACTCGCGTAACACCGTGGAGCCGTTCAGGGATCCGAGGCGCACCTTGTCGTGTCCGCGAACTGCCTGTCAGTACGCTGCCTTCGACGAACAACTTCGTTCTGTTCCGCTCTCGGTCTCGCGCTCCGCCGAGCGCGCATGGCTTTGTTTTAGTGACGTCACCGCGCATCAGCTGTGAGGCGACGTCGAGCGGCGCATGCGCGCGCTTGACGTTTCTACGTCTTCTGAAATCATTTGAAGCCTGAAGTCAGCTGCTATCAAATCGTATTCTCGTATATATATATGTATTTCATATATATAGGATAGATTTTTTACTGGTTAAAGAATCCAAGAATGTAATTATAAAAAAATAAAATATACTGACCACAACGTTACTTCGTATCTTATTATTGTGTATATAAGAGTTCATTAAAGGGTTTGGCAGCAAGTCTGATAAACAGATACGATACATTTAATTCGAAAATGCCTAGTTTCAAACACTGAAAATGTATACATGACGCCGAGTATATAAGATTTTATCTGTTTATAGTTGTACTTCTCTCTAATGTCTAAATATACTTACAGAATTTATTTAGAAAATACAAAAGATATAAACATATATGTAGCGGAGTAAAATAACGAAAGAAAACTAGAATTGACATGTCATGGTAAAATTTCATATTTTGTAAGCAAATGCCATCTATTATCAGCAGAGAGAAGTTACTCTTGCTTGACAAATCTTACACATGCGCAGAGTAGCAAAATTAGCAGACGCATTTTACTCTGACAATCAGCCGCGTATATATAGGAAATCGTGGTATAACCAATAAAAGGAAGAAATTTTTTGTAAATGTAAACAAACTAATAAAATATTTAGAATATATCTAAATGTGTATGATTGAAAAGTTATTTTGTATACCAAAGAAATGCATCTTTATTTGAACATATAAAATCTAATTATTGGTTGTCTACCACAATTTCTTTGAGATATATATCTATTCAAATCTATGCTCACGAGTCTTAATCTGACAAGAAACGCATACTTATTAATCTTTATACCAATCTTGTTTATTATCAAATTTGTCATTAAAATAAGGTTTTTTATTGTAGAGGCCTGCTGGGACAAAAGATCACGTTATTCGGTCTACGCAGGGAAAATGCCACTTTTCATTTATTTTGTCAACGCTGTTAGGGTTTCAAAACACGTCCGTCCGCCACTGACAGTCGGGACAGATGACGTGGCCATGACAGACCGTCACGGACACTATGACAAGTGGCCGCGCGCAGACCAATCTCAATCATTCCGCGCCGCAAACACAATAGCTGTGAAAACGTCACGCGGCATGCGTTTCAAGTCTCTCTGATTATCGCAGAGGCATCGCGTTCGTTCGTTAGCATCGTGTGTGATCATTCGCTTGAATTTACGAAGGTAAGCATCGCGTTATTACTCGCTTGATTCATTGTCAATCCGAGCGATTCCGCATTCGATAAAATCTATTACAATTTCGCAATCGCGCGTAAATATAAATTGGACGTAATACAATACTGTAATACATGACACGTGATACGCACATACACGCGTGCGAGCATACAGCTCCTTTTTACGATATTCTATCTTCATGCTATCCGACAGGATATGGATCCAGGTATTCAATCGACAAGATTCGTTACGCGTTTCTCGTTTTACGTTTTGACAAGTTAGAGTGGCGTAGCGGATAGAACATCTCTCGAAGCTTTATTAGAAAATATAGTATTTGTCCTATACGTATATGACATCATGCACGAGTTATGTAAATGTGCAAGAATGTGTTTTTTATCGACATTATCGTTTACATTATCGCGCTTACAATTCACTTTGAATATCGTTTATTCTTTTAGAGCTTTGATGTTTTACAGCACGATATTATTATGACAATTAAGAAAATTTGTGATTAACATAAGAGTAAAAATAAAATTTGCATGTATATTATTTTGCTATTATTATTATATGCATGTTAAATATTCTGTCACCACAGTATAAAAGAATGCAATATTTTTATGATATTGAAATGACAAAATAAGAAATTGTCCTTATAACATATAAATAAAAATAATATTTTTTTATTTAAATACGTATAAATATGTTGTGCTATATAGTGTGTTTATGTTTTTGAGAGCATTTCATAAAACATATAAGGAAAGAAAATGGATATTATATATCTGTCTTATGATAGCTTATACTTAGATATATTATATTCTCCAAATTTTAAAATTTTTATCTCTGATATTTGCCTCATTGCCCTTATTTCATATATAAACTTGCTGATAGAATAAAAAATGTCATTTTAACAATTATTTATAATATGTAATGATAAAATCTCTGTTTAATAATTGAGACATTTTATTACTGTGTATATGATTTTATTAATTATTGTATAATTAAGTCATTGAATTTTAGAAAATGTGGGCAAGGAAACTCTTCTAAAAGTGACAAATTGGTTACGTGGAGTTTGGGAAATGAGACGGCGTGCCGATGGATCAGTTCAACAATGGATTGATTCAATACCGTTGCCTACAAAATCGGATATTACAAATGAATGCCAAGAACGTAACTCGAATAAACCGTTAACACCAACAGAGCCTCAAGACATTCCGTTTCCTAAAGGCTCAAAGCTTCCAAGCATGACTGTATCGGCGCCTATTAATGTTCCTAATTCATCAACAATGAATATACCAATACTTCCAAGGTAATTAAACATATTCAAAATTGTAATATTACAAAATTGTAATTTTACAAATCCGTTTAAATTGCAGTTCGCTTCCTCATCATAGACTGGCACGAGACGCGAGCTTTCAATCGGACAGCAGTCACTGTAGTAGTGTCGAAAGTTTACTAGAATTACGAAGAGCGGATCCGACAGCAATTTTGCTCGATCTTGGTTTCGGTGGTTGCTCAAACAGTTCGCGGGAAAACGATCCAATTTCTCGCATTCCTAAGAGGTTCCTTCAGCCGTCATCGTTACAAGGCATTGCTATAGACGAGTTTCTTAAACAACAACAAGAGACTAGTGAATCTTTTGATTCGGTATCTTTAGGATATAGAGGCCTAATGGGTAAGATTGATTTTTCAGTAATAATAGCCAGATTACAACAAAATACAACTTCCCTTTGTAGAAGTAATAAAAATAAAAATAATTCTAAATTCATCAATCTCAACTTATAGGTATCTTATAATTTATATATATATATGAAATACAACAACGTCTTTACAATGTTAATGATCGTTAAAATCATATTTTTGGGTAAAGATAAACCCGCAAAAATTTGCCATATAGCATAATAATTTTGTAGGAAGCAATAGCGCATTATGCGCGTCTACACGCGTCCGACAGCGCAGAAACTCGGGACCAAATAATTTTGTAAGTCTCGCGTGAAAATTTGTAGACAAAACTGTTTTGATGTATGTACAGTTTAATTGAACTTATTTAGAAAATTTGTTTTGTTTCTTTGTACTATTATGGTTTTATATTTATATTCAGTAAACATTACAGTTTCTTATTCTTATTCACATTGCTTTTGTGTTTATATTAGTATAAAGGCTATCAAATGCGCAATGTTATGCTATTTTAAGTAGAAGTTTATGATTTTATTTGGATTTTTTATATTGTGAAAACATTATGCTTTTAGAATTTCTAGATCTCAGTAATAATCATATATGCACAGTAATAGACTTTACCAAATTGTAGACAATGAAGCTATGTGTGATCTTTTAAATAAATCTGCATGCTAATATATGTAAAAATAAATATGATAATACGCACTAATGCACAATAAGAGCACATATTTAAATTGCAAGCTATTGGCGATAGAGTTTAATGAATGTCTTCTAATGTGTTGTCATTTATATTGTGTGTAAAGTGGTATTGAATTTTTCAATTTGTGTACAATAATTCGTTTTAAAAATATTCAGTTGTAATACATAAGCTACTAATAGAGTTTATCTATCTATTACCTGTATTATGTATTTTTCACAAATGCCATGTAGTATTATATGTATTTCATCATCTTAAGTTTATATATCTTATCATTTTTAGTTTGATGGCAATTATTGTTATTTATAATAAATATACAACAAGATATATCTTACTATTATCTTTTTACTTTTTTTATTTTTGAAAGGATCGCCATATGTAGCTCCATCAGAAATTGTGCAAAAAATTATGGAACGTTTGCGGGAACATGAAAACCATGAGGTGGACACAAATTCATATTATTATGAGCAGTACAGTCCCTTATATCAAAACTCAGGAAGACTTTCTGTGCTATCTCCTGACAACAGGCAATTTTTAGAACAGCCACGTTCCAAGAGTCCTGATATGCGTAACAAACGTATGATTATAGGTAAATGAAAATTTCGGTGCAAATAATTTTGTCCTCTAATATACAATATATGTTTGTATTATTACTCTTACTTTCTTTTGCAGGACAAAAATCATTTGCTTTTGGATGCGACGGAAATTTAATCGAAATACCTTCCAATGATACAAATCTTGCGTCCAATAATACAATAGATAGTGATAATAGTTTATTGGATGTTAGTAAATCCATAGAATTAAAGCAATCATCTTTAGAAGAAAGTACAATGCTCGAACATCGGTATTTTTCGAAGAATAACAAGAAATTATCGAAACATTTGTCATTTGATGATACTGTCGATTTTTCCGAAACTGACCAATTATTAAAAGACAATCAGGAGATGGCGAATAGCTTAAATTTTGCTCAAAGTGGCACAAATGTAGATAATAACGAGCAGGAAAATAATGTATTTGAAACAAATTCCAAAAAACATGGAAAACATGAATTTCTTGATGTTCGAAGGGCTAGCGAGGGGTCGTGCGATATTAAATCTTTAAGAAATAAAGTATTTATCGGGAAACGAAGATTTAGCGATGGCGCAATGCGCACTATTGAAAGCCAAAGTACGGAATGCACGTTAATGCAGAAGAGAAGAAGTTTCAAAAGACAGTCTAGAGTATGTGATACAAATGCAATCGATTATTGTGAATCTATTAGGTCTAACGTATCAAATGCGATATTTGAATGTAACATAGACAATGAAGAGGAAATATCTAGTGACATACCTAACAGTACACACCAAGTAAATATGCTGAAACCACTTGAACCAACTGAAGGTGAAAATCTAGAACTAAAAATAGATACAAAATCTTCATTTAGAGAATCTAATTGTATGTCTTCACTATCAAAGATTAGCGAAACTATGGATAAAATGAAAAGCTTTGAAACTACAGAAGAAAACTCAGCATCGGGTGATCATACTTGTATGGAAGATATTCAAGTTCGCTATTGTAAAGGTAAAGTTTGTATAGATTGTAAGTGTGATAAGAACTGTCCAGATTGTTGCTGTCATGTCGACAAACGGAAATATTGGAAGAAGATGAAGAAGATCATGCGAGAAAATAAAAAATTAGAGGATATGCTAGCAAAAAGTAGAAGAGAAGTGGCAGAAATTCGTGATATACTAAGTAGCGTTTTATCAGTCAGAATGGAACCGGGATTTTAAGTAGATTGTTAAAAAACTTGCTGTTTTTAACGAAAAAGAAAAATGACTAATTGTATAGTTATATGATCTTGTGATATAGTTGAATGTGTGTGTATCAGGGTAAAGAATTAATACGTCATAAAATTGAACTTTCTATTTAACCACACTTTGTGAATTAATCTATATATTCTTCTATTTTAGAAATCTCAAATATTTTCGAAGCTCGCGTTTTATAATAACAGATATTTCTATAATATATATACACATGAGAACAATCACTTTTTTAATATCTGTTTTTAGTTAAAATCAACAAAGAAGAAAAAAAATATGATATATTTCATTACTTCTGTGCTAAATATGCCATAAAAATGTTAGCACAAATTCATGTATATATATTTGTATCTCTATTTATAACTCATATATTTTTTTATACATTCCATTTAATGCAAATTATAAACAAAGATGAAAATGTTATTACATTCAGATTTTATTTAATATAATAGGCATTGTCATATGATCAAAAAACGTGCAACAGGTTTATTATTATATTTTGTTGAAAAAAAGAATAATATGTTGATATGACATTGGTACATTGTTGTGTAAATGGCATACTTTTTGAAAAAAGAAAACGTAAAAAAGAATGCTAAGTAATACACCCGTCAAAAAACGCATTCATAGACCACGCTTAATATACTCATTAAGTTTGAAGTATCGAGTTTAGCGTTTATCACTTTGTAATTATGTTTATTGATTAAATACTTGTATGTAACTCGTAATTAGAAAGATATAGTAATGCGTCAGTTTCGCCTCTCTTGTTCACGTTTGATAATGTCTCTGTATAGTTTATTTAGTATATTTTAATGAAGATAACTATATGTGAAAGTGTACGATATAGGTATGATTGGAGTAATAATGAAAGTTTGATACTTTCGCCACTTTTTTAATGATTACATTCACAATAAGTTTTAATTGCAACAAATGCTGGTCATTCTGTACTTTGCAAAAAGAATTTTAGATCTAGTCTTTTACAATTACTATCAACACACAGTGATAACATATCTAACTATTAATTATAAATTCTTTATCTCTCCTTCCCTTATACAATAAAGAAATATATCAAGATAAAGAATTTTTAAAAACAATTCACGATTGTTTGGATATAAGTTATTGAGAATTAATTTATGCTGCCATATTATAATTGATAGTACTTCTTGAATATTGATATGTTTACACAAACCGTACATCATAGTTATAGATAATGTACATTTTTTTAATTTTAATCTAACATGGATAACAATCAATAACTGGTATACTAGAAGAAATCTAACTTATACAGAAATAAGCGAATATATATATATTCAAAATGATTCAAAATAATTTAAAATATACTAACGATTAACATTTTAATGAAAAGCAAGTGCTCCAAGTATTGAATTACATTTATGTAATTTGAGAATAAAATCAAACAATGTGTTGTGTTTATTCTGTTACAATGGATCATTATACAAATTATTTGATATATCTAACAGAACTTATTATCTATAAAAATATATTTGGGCAGGAGCAGAAAAGATAGATATATTAAATTAATATATATGTATATTATGAAATGTATGTCTGTCCATTTTTTACTTAATGCTTAAAATTTTAATATTGATTGGAAATTTTACTCAATACTTTTTAGGTCATAATATAGTCACTTAATAAAGAAAACTGCATTTTATTTTGTTACAAGACACAATAAAAATATAATTAGCATAGAGATACAAGAGAGAGACTATTCAATCGAAATGATTCGGTACAAATCAAAAACTTTGAAACGCTATCAACTCTTATTTATGTAACAAACTTTATATAATGAACATCCACATTTTACATAATAAATAAGTAAAATTCTGTACCTATATTTTCTGATTTCTCTTGAATAATATATATCAAGTGTGATAAAGTCCAAATAAGATATGTACTATCTATACAAGATACATGAAAAGTAGAGTTATACAAACAAAATATAGGAGGATTGTAGAAATAAAGTACGATGTACAATTGTGGGAGCACTCAATAAATATTTACCACATAATACCACAATTTCATTTTTTTTTTTTTTTTTTTTTTTTTTTTTTTGTTAACCATGCTTCGTCTATCAGATTTATCAGTTAAACACGCTGTTTATAACACTTCATAGAAATAAATCGTCTATACTATAAAATATTCAAGATCCATTTAAAGTGTGTTCTTATGCAAATTTAATCGCAAAAATATGGCGATACAAATCGATATGTGAAATAACTCAATTTTATAGACATGAGATTGAATTATTTAAAGTAATAGAGACAAAATATGATTGATCAATAACACAAGTTTTTTTGTATAATTGATCTTTCATATAAAGTTCAGAAAAAGATATAAATGCAGCTTGCTTAATTACTGGAAGTGTTTCCTAGTTTTTGTTATATCTTATGATTAAGTGATACACGCAAGAACTGGCCCAGCATCGCCCGTAGCAGTTAAGGGAACCATAATAAATATTGCCTATAAAGCCCCTTATTTTTTATATCACATGAATATTAGCATTTTTTTCTAATCTTTGATTCAAAGAAAGATAGTATAATAATCGTATGTATATAATAACATATTTTGCTTTATATTTATTCAACTTGTCTCAATATTTACGGCATTTTTTTGTAATGCTGCTGAAATAATTTATATTTTTTTGCTATAACGAGGGACTTGAAAATGACGGTTCCGCTTGTCTCTGTCTAAGGGCGCGCTTGAAATGGCCACATATGTAGGTCACAAAGTCACTGCTGCATCTGTAAAATAGCTTAAATTATGAGTAGACTAATTGTGACATCATAAAAAAAAAATTAACATCAACATGCATCCATTACACTAGGTAACATTTAATTTCTGTCGAAGACATAAAACATTTGTAAATCATCAGGTGTTGCATTTACTAAACTCTGTAAATACAATGCATGCTTGCGAATAATTCTATTGGTAGTTGAAGCTCACACACATATTCTGTCAGAGGTATCAATTATAGCTAAAGTTACCCCCAATAATAAACTCAGAGCCATGGTCCATCCAATCTTATATTTTAAATATGAACCTGCTACAATACCATGTCATAAATTTCATCCATGTGTACATGTAAACTGTAAATATGTTTGGTGGCTAGTGTACATGTTGAGATGTGGATGTTTTGTTTTTTTTTTTGTTCCTTAACATATGTTTCCTTAGAATGTATATAAACAAATAAAGAGCAAACACTCGATCTAATTTAGTCTTCTTTTTCATCCCTGAAATTTACAAAAAAATATTTATTAATATTAGTTTTATTGACTATTGCAACATTATAGATCAATTTTGAATAAAATCACATACTTTACAACTTCTTGTTGTTGCGTTGGATCAAAATGAAGTTCAACAATTGTCTCTTGTCTACTTTGCACTTTAAATGACACCTGGACTGCTAAGTAATTGTCTTTATTACTAAGTTGCCATCCAGAATACTGAAATGAAATACAAAATCTCTATAAATTGTTTATATTTTTAAACATAATTTGTAAAAAGCCATTCCAATTTTTTACCTAATATCAATTTACACGATCAAGTTATGATTCAATTCAACAAATAATAAAAAAATGTTATTTTTAATTCTAAAGAATGATGTACATACTGTCGTTGTGCTTTTGTACAGTACTTTTCCATCTTCCTCAAAAGGTAAAAACTTTTGGAGTAGTGCCTTTCCATCTATCCTCCATAATGTAGGATAAGGGCTTGATTCTACATCAGATTTACCCTTACTAGATGTTTTATTTTTATTAGATACAAGGTCAGCTTTTGCAAGAACAAACGAACCAGACTGTAAAAAAAGAGAGAGAAACCTCAGTCACAGTAACATTTTAAAAGAGTTTACAATTGATTTGATTATGTTCTAATAACTTACTGTGTAATCTTTTGGAGTTTCTCCTGATTCATTGAAACTGTTGTCGTCAGAATCCTCATCGTCCTCGTCCTCCTTATCATCATCCTCTTTCTTAGAACGCCTTTTCTTTTTTGGTTTTTTCCCTGTATCAGAATCAGATTCTTCATCTTCATCCTCGTCTTCTTCTTCATCCTCATCTTCTTCTTCTTCATCTTCCTCTTCAGAATGCTGCCGCTTTTTTGCTGTTTCCCTCTGTGGCCTTATTTTAGTACCACTCTACGAAAAATTACAAATATTAGATTAAAATATAATATATTTGTGAATTATATATGTGATATATATTTATCATCAATAATTTTAGTTTATTAAAAAATTGACCTCCTCTATAAATATATTTAATAGTCAATAAAAATATTTAAAAAATAACATTCTTATGACATAATTTTTTTTTAGGATGCATATTGGAATTTTGAGTGCATTAATATAAAATTCCATATATATGTATATTCCATATATATGTTCATCAAAAAGGCGCGTATTGAAATATTCGGCGTGTGACGTCGGTTTGCCTCCAGCGATTTGAAACATGCCGCCGATCGTGGCGCCACTTATCGTTAGCGGTCGACCGGCCGGCAAGGATGGCCGTCGCGATGCGGACAGAGCGAGAGTACGAGCCGGAAGGAGAAACGGTCGTAGCTCGAAAGATACGCTCTAACAGCGCGATGTCGTCGCCGTGCGGGAAACTGTTCGGCGCAGGCAATCTGATTCGATGCGAGGAAACGCCGGAAACGAGGAGGCGCGCGCGAGGAACAACTTACCTCGAGCGCGTCTCACGGCGATGGCGGTATGAAAGAAGGGGGGGAAAGGGGGGAGTCGCCGCCCGCTTCGCTTACGATATACTAATCGCAGGACGCGAATGTCTCGCACTCCCTATGGCATGATGACTGTACAAATGAAACGCGAATTAATTAATATATTTAAAGGATCTGGATGGTGTAATCGCGATAAAATTTTTTTTCCGCACCGCGTTCGATTCACTCGACAGAGATATGTGTCCGCCGGAATGTCGGCGACGTGCGAGTCGGCCGCGATCCTGACAGACGCTTTATCGCACGCGAAAGAATCATAAATCTTTTATAATCGTCGTTCGAATGGAATCGTAATGGAAATTCGACACGGGATCAAGAAACGATGCGTGTTTCGCGCGCGGCGTGGATCTTACCTCCGCTCCGGGCTCGGGGGCCCATTCCTCTTCGGAGGCACCCTCGACCTCCGGATCGTCCGGATCGTCCACCTCGTAATCGTCCTCGTCCGAGACGTCCTTGATCTTCTTCATGTTGCCTTTGCGCGAAATGTTTGTCGATATTGCGATATACTGGCCGTAGAAGCACGCCGCACACACTTGCGAGAATTTGCGAGAGAACGACGTGCACGAGATCGCAAACAATATGGCGGTCGGTAAGGGAGGAGGGGAGGAACGCTCTTTATTATCGCGAACTCGCGGACGGCGTGGCGCCGCGGCTGCGGAAACGGTCTCCCGATGGCGCCACCGTCGCGCACAGCCGCGTTCTCGTCCTATCAAAGCGCGGGAAGACGGAACGAAGCTGCTATGAAGGAAGCAACTTCACGATTTCTCCATTTCTACGCGATTACATTTCAAGAAACTTACGTCTCGCAATATATGAATATTTTAATAGTATTGAAATGTTAAAATCAAGCAGAGAAGAATGCTCTCTCACAGCAATAATCACGTAAGTTCGTGGCAATAATATCTTAACATTCGGATGCTTTTCTTGAAGACCGGCGTTTCTAAGATGTCGCGGTATATCAATTCAGATATTTGAATGTAAGTTAATATCGACATGTGTATGGGAATTAAATTGTAACGAGTTAATTAGGCATAAGATTCTTTGTCTAAAATATACATAAAATTTTGATATATACAGGTTTTCGAGTATATTTGGCGAAACGAAAAATTATATAGATGCTACTCTTTGTAGAATTTTTTAAAGAATTATTACGATAAATTAATTTACGTGCAGAAAATTTTTAATAAGACATCGGATATTATTAATAAAACGTGATTTATTGCATTCATATGCTTGTTATCCAAAGATTATATTTATAAATAATAACATAAATAAGTACAAAATATATACGTAATAATTAACGTTGTCAAATCGCGGGTTGTGTCAAAGGATTGATACAAAAGCAATATCCTCTCAACGCGAATACTTTGTTAATAATTTTTTTGATTTGTACCGTTTTCCAGGTCGGGTCGATATGGGGGTTGACGCGTGCGCCGATGCTCGATGCATCGAGACGCTGTTCCCTCAGTACTTTTGATAGTGGCGATATCAGCAAAAACCCTGGTACGAGGGTAAGGAACGAACGGACGACGTGATTGTGTGGAAAAATGTTCGAGCTTTATGGTGTCGGTAAGGATGGCATGGTTTATCGGTCTCCACCACCAAGAAGAAAAGAAGTCGACATCCTGGAAGTAGGTAGAACACGACGAACGTTATTAAAAATCCCTCGTTAATTTTATTGGTCTCAAATTTACGGGATACAAACACACACATGTACTCACGCACGTATATCATCTTTATAATTTTATTGTTTTTAGAGCGTAATTTTTTTCTAAAAAAAAGAAAAAACATGAATTCTCCTATAATATTTCAAGAAAAAATATTACTTACTTTATTTATTGTGAAAAGAATTTAAGAGTAATAAATAATTAAAGATGTTTTATAAAGAAATATGTTTTTATCAAGATATATTTATCAAGAGTCTGTCGAATAATTTTTAAATTTTATAATATTATTAAATTTTTAAAGCTTTCAGTCTAAGAATAAAGAAAGTGTTTATAATTACATAAGAGATGAGTTTAAAAAAAAAAGATTAATATGAAAGAGAAAAAAAAGATTATATATGATATTTATAAGAATTGAAAATACTTCACAGAAACATGATATTTCAGTATAAAATTAGTCGAGAGAATAATGTGTGAGGATAATTCACATAAAGTTCACAAAGTAGTGATTCCGCGTCAATATTATTTTTATAATTGTCTGTAAAAAATCAGAGATGTTCTATGCAAAGTAGTTTTTCTATATACATTTCTTTTTTTCAAGGCAAACGCGTTTTACCTTGGTATGTATATCTTTCATAACTTACGGATTATTAATGGCGTAATATGCGACATTCGTGCGACGCGGATAAATAGTTGTGCAACATTTGCAATCTTAGAATTTACAGACACGACGTTGAAACTACTTTGTAGCTTTGTAAATCAACGTTCTTTTGCAGACTTGCTTGCAACTCTCCTCACCAGAACTTATGAGAAAATTGCCCAACGGCGATGCACTTCACCATATCAAGGATACGGGTGTTTCAACTTCCTTCAACAAAGCTAAAGAACCGCTAAGAGAGAGCAGTGAGTAAATAAAAAAACTGTGTTGTACAAAGTAAAATCAAAATATCCAAAAAATTTTATTCACGCTATAAAGTTTTAATTTTATCTTTTCTCCTAAATTACCAATTTATTTTAATTGTAGAATGTAGAGAAAAAAACCTATATATCTTATATAATATCATATATATAATATATCTTTTTTATATCGGAATCTAACAAACATATATCTCAAATAATTAACTATTTTTTTTTTTAAATGCGTAAAAGCGATGATTTAAATATTATCTAAACCAAATTCTAGAGTTAGATATTTAAATATAGGTTTTATATTTACGTAACACATGGCGCGTATGTGTGTGTTAGCGATTACAATTACTGATATTAACATAAGTAACGTTTAAAATTGCATAAAAAGTGTCTAATTAAATTAATATAGATTTAATTCCAGCTGTATCGATCGCCGATGTGCTTTCTCGCGATTATTCTATGATCTCACGACGTTTCCGATAGTCAAATCCGTGACAATTTCTTTATTTTCTCCAATTTCGCACGTCAACGAGTTTGCTTACATAAAATCCCCACGAGCGAAGAAGAGAAGTCATCGAATGATGAGAAATGACGAGTGTGGCGAGACGTGACGAGCAATTTGGTATGATTTCTATTTACGGCTCGGCGATCTTCTCGATTACATTGCGTACTCGATGTCGATTGCAGAGACGGCAGATCAAAGTTTCGGTTACGGCGATTTCACGTACGGATAGATATAATCTACGCTTGGCTGATCTTCCCGGTTGAAGATGATCCCTTTGATTGTCCCATTGATGTTCTCTAGAACAGATTGATCGCTTATTGATTTCATGCAGTTATCGATAAGCATTCATATGTGTAGGGATTACAGATGCTAATAGATTTAAGAATAATACAACACCATAAAAATATAAAAGTTCCAAAAATTACAAATTAGAATATTTTTTTTTGATATTTTTTATATTTTGTATCTGGAAGTGTTTTAAACATATATTTTATAATTAATATTTTTACATATATTTATATCAAAAAGAGATGTAGGAATTATAACAAATATCTATTAAATTTTATCGAAAAAATAGATTTCACACTGTTTCTAATACCTGACAATATTGTAGGACGAAGTGTTGTAAGAAGATGGGTGGTAATGACTGGATTCTTCTTCCTCGGATGTGCCTTAGTGGCTGGAGTAGGTCTGCCTCTCGCCTTGGAACTTCGAAGCTCTCACTTGTTGGAAGCCAGACTGCAGGTAGTCCGAAGAATGCTGTCAGAGATTCCTCTGATTGATGGGTAACAGTTGTCTTATATCTTGTATATAAATTAGTGGCAAAGAATAGATTTTCTCTATACATTCTGTGTGTATGGATATATAAAGTAGATCTGTAAAAGTTCTATGAATTTTTTAAAAACTCTGGAACAGCTTCTTTTTGATTTGTTTTTAGTATTAAAATTTAGAATTAGTATTAAAATTCGCGTAATAAAATAATAATATAGATCTCTACATCTATTATTTCGAATCTGGCAGGCATAACGACTTTGCCTGGAATCTACGAAAGCACAGCGGCAGTACGAAGCTAGGTAACTTCCCCTTCGACGAAGATTTGTCGCGCAATGCCAGCTGGGGTCCGCAGTGGCAAACAGATCTGATCCGTCTAGAACAGGGGATCGTTGGCGCGCAATTCTGGTCGGCCTATGTGCCATGCGAGGCGCAATTCCTTGATGCCGTGCAACTCACCCTCGAGCAGATCGACATCGTGCGCAGACTCACGTCGCGCTACCCCAAGCGAATCAAGCTGGTGACAACGAGCGGCGAGCTGGAGAAGGCGCATCGAGACGGAGTGATCGCCAGCCTAGTAGGGATAGAGGGTGGTCACAGTATCGGCACTTCCATGGCGGTGCTGAGGAGCTTCCATCGGCTGGGCGCGCGCTATATGACCCTGACCCACAAGTGCAACACGCCATGGTAAGTTTGGCCGCGAACGTAAAAACAACGAGAAGGAATGAACCTTGGTAGAACAAATTGGCATCTTCTACTAGCTAATATATGCTTCTCCATCACAGAGTTTTATCGCGGTCTTTCGACTTATTTGATACATCCTTGAGAGTTTATATAAGTATGTCTTATTTAGCTATTAAACCGGTACAAGGTAAGTAAAAAAATGATACGGACTAAAATAGAAAGAAAATGCATAACGTAGCTTGAATGCGTTATCTATTTAAGCCGTTCGTGTAGATTGAATATGTTTAAGATTCTAATGATATCACTAATTATCTAATTTGTCGTTCTTTTGATATATTTAACCCTTTAAATATTTATTTTAAGAATTATATCGCATTATATACCGTGGTTTATCCGTAAAAATATAACATAAATATCTCTCGATTAAGAATTTCTCAAATGATATTTTTCATTACTCGAGTAATATATTATGTAACTTTTGACAAAAAAAAGTCCTATGTTTTTCTATTCAACGAGAGCTCTAATTTGATGTTTATTTTGTAAAAAAAATATAAGTAATCTTATTTCTATATAGGAACTTTCTCTCTCATTACAGATATCTTTTTCGAGCTCAAAAATCTTAGTTGCATCTATATTTTTTATGAATTTTTAATTTGGCAATCGAATGTCAGAGAATCGATTTCGATTTCCAGGGCAGACTCATGTTCCGTTGACGATCCGAACTCGGACGCACCCTCTGATTTCCACAGCGACGGCCTCTCGGCGTTCGGTAAAGCGGTTGTTCGGGAACTGAATCGGCTCGGTATGCTCGTGGATCTTTCGCACGTCTCGGTGAGAACGATGAGGGACGCTCTCGCGGTGACAAAGGCGCCGGTCATATTCTCGCATAGTGCCGCTAAAGCACTCTGCAATTCCTCTAGCAACGTCCCGGACGATGTACTACGGAATTTGGTAAGGAAGAAAAACAAGAATCTGGAAAAATACCGACGTTCATCGTTGAACGTGCTAGATCTATGTAAATACCACGGAGGAAAGATACAAAATTAAATCGGTCCATTTAACTCTAAACGACCCTTGACCGAGAGTTGATTTTTCTGATTCATTTTGAGTTTGTCTAGAAAAATCAATTTTCTTTCTAGCTATATATGATTATCCGCTTAAAAATTAATTTTTAATTATTTTGCAGGAACAAAAGATTATATTTAACGTGAGAGAATTATGCAACGCGCGACATGACATACTTAATATTTGTTTGAATAATAATCACGCGGCTTTCATCTCTATTACTGTTCTAGTCTCTCAATGGTGGTCTGGTTATGGTCAGTTTCGACAGCGCGCATTTGAGCTGCGGCGATAAAGCTTCTATGTATGATATCATAGGTGTGTAAGTAGAGCGCGGAGTGAGAAACATCAAAAAGATAAAAATATTAAAATCGTAGTTAAACATCAAAAACTTAAAGAGATAAGAGACCGAGACACAACGACGCGCTTGCGTGTTTTTTTTTACAGCTCACATCAATCATATAAGACGAACAGCTGGCGTGAATCATGTGGGTCTTGGTGCTGGTTACGATGGGATATTGAGGTAGTTAAAGACGCACCAATATTATTGTATCTTTATCATTCATGTAATGTAATTCGATGAGAGATAGTTATTTTCAAAGAAATTACGTAAGATCATCTCTTTAATAGTTTTCCGAGTAATAATTATGATAATATTTGTTTAAAAATATTGTTTTGGTCTATTTTTTGTTACGATTAATTAATTGAAGTATTTAAACTCTGAGTAAATTTGAAATCTCAAAATATTTTTCCCGTAATTATAGCTAATGATTATGTAATTTAGTTTTGATTATATTTTGTTAAAAAGATAAGCATAGGGAAAATATTATATTTTTTCTATTCCTTCGCTATAGAAATAACTTCACAATTATTTAATTCTTTATCTGTGCCATCTGCGTTTATTAAACTCACATTTATTTCATATTTATCTATACAATCAGAAAATAATAATTTTGATATTCTTTGACGTTACATATAGAAATCTATATTTCATGAATAGATCAAAAATATTATGAAGAATTATATCTTTTATTGCATTATATGTATGACATACTTGCAACGATGAAAGTACAGACTTCAAATGGATCTAAATGGTGAAGGTGATTAAAGCAAATATTCGCACTTATTCAGACCACCGACGGAATTGCCGGACGTTTCCGGTTATCCCTTGCTGCTGGCCGAGCTGACTAGAGATCGTAGATGGTCCGCGACCGATATAAAGAAACTTGTGGGTGGAAATTTGTTACGCGTCCTCAAGGAAGTGGAGAATCATGCAGCGACTCTCTCGCATCAGTTTCCGGCAGAGGAGTGGATTCCTCAGGAACTCATCGATGAGAGCGCGTATTGCAAATATCACGACGCGTAAAAGATGTCTTTCGCTCGCGTCTACGACTATTTTCGACGTACGACTGGCTGTCATTTCAATTCTACGAATCATTCCCTCGCTAAAAAAAGTACGCACTTTGAACTGTATCGTCTTTGTACCTGGAGCGCTCTCTTCAACTGTTTTACATTTTTAATAAAATACCTAGCGATAGATCTCCGTATTCTAATAAAATTCCTCGTTTTTTCCAGCCTACATGCAGCCAAATTATATAATTCTAACAAGAAAAAAAAATAATTTCGTTCTTTACCTGTGGAATCCTTCTACATTGAATATATTAGAATTTTGCCGTTTCTCTTCCTCTTAAGAAGTTCTTTTCTCTGAAAAAAAATTTCATACAAAGTATTGATAGAGATATATTGTATTTATAACTTATAAAAGAATATATTTATACAAGTCAAGTATTTTTAACTGGTAATACGCAATGTGTTCACGTATTGCAATAATGTGCATTGTATACATTAAAGATACTTGATTTTTGCAATCGTATTATTTTTCTTCGTATAATATTATTCTTAACTTTGTTCGCCACATAACGTGGATTTAAAAATTCGACAAACATATTTGAAACTGCAATCGGCCCAGTTACATTCAATTGCGTTTATGGTTAAAATGGATGTTAGTAGTTAAGTCAATTTACCTTATGTCTTGAGTCCTCTCCGTATCCACCGTCGCATAATGTATGTTGGAGCAATTATTTAATCTGGTACACACATTTACACATGCATATACGTACACGCAAACATATACGTTGTTACAGCTAACAGAGGCGCACAAGTCGCAATATGTCAATTACATCGTTTAATTTTTAACTCGAGGCTTATATTTCAATCGGGGACAGCATCGTAAATAATCCAGTTAATCTGTTATCTGAATCTCGTATAGCTTATTAAGGATAACAAATAAATCGCGGAAGTATCGACGATGTTTGAATAATTCATATTCGATATTGTGGGAAGAGTTCTTTCTCGATAAGATTATTAATAGCGTCTATTTTTCTTTGTATGCACGTTTTAACGTTATTCAGATTGATCCCAGGTCGTGATGACAAAGTCATTGAACTTAAAATCTCCTTACGAACACTTTCTTGACACGTATCGTCAATTTAACAAGAAGATTATATTTAATAATGCTGACGTCGTAGACAAATTAGTTTTAAAAAGAATGTTTTTATCTCAAATTGAAGGATACAGGAATTTAAAAGATATAATGATCCTAAAAATTATTTCTCTCGCAATACATATTTGAAAATATTTCAAAGTTTTAATTTAATTTTTTTATTTTAATATAGAGGGAGGAGCTATTGTATATATTGATATAGAAGAGAGAAAGAGAGAGAGAGAGAGAGTAAGAATCATTTTATTATATTAAAAATAAATATTTTCCAGAGAAAAGACTTTTCATTTAAATGTTAATTATTTTCTTTTTTAGCTGACCTACTAAAGCGAGTACGATTAACAGTTTTGCTGACAGAAGGACAATTCTCTCAATATGAAGAAATTTGTGTTTTAACTCAAGCAAGATACATAAGCATCGTTAAATTAAAACAAAACTCAGTAAGCGTGAGTATATTAAACTAAAGGACTGTATTTTTTTCTTATTAGCACAATGCAATCTTAACGATGTATCAAATTAAATTCTCGAAAATCGTTTTACATATAGATAATCCTGTATTAGTCACGCATTCTTTGATCCTTCAAAATCACTTGATTTTGCAGATATGATATTATTGCTTCTGCAACTTTCTACAGACAAGAACAAATTAATTCTAATAAGATACTTTATAGCAGCGCTAGATATCTTCCATTTTTCAGAAATCGTGAAAGTGCTACATTGACCACGAACGCGTATCGAGCTCTCGCTCTCATCAATGTTAACATGTTCTCGAGATATGGGTCATGCTGTACTGTTACAGATTGCAATATTTTTGCTTTTGAAAACAACCGAGGAGACGTCACCTGATTACTTTCTTCTCACAAAACATTGTTCAATAGCGCGTTCGTAAGCGAATTCGACGAAGCGCGTCGAGCCGAATCGGATCTTGTTGACGGAAAAGCAAATTTGCTCGATTACATTCGGTAATCATTCTTTTTGTTGCTTTAGTCATCATATTCGATCGATTACATCGATCGACAAAATATGATATTCTTTCCTGACATTGATAAAGAATCTGTTTTTATCTGTTTTTATATATTTTTTTAGACTTTTTCTTGAAATAGGAAGCAAGCTTTGAGAGAGACGACAGCTACCGTCAAATGCGGGCACAAATGCTTGCCTCTTCTTACAAGTCTACGAATAAAGTTGCAAGCTATAATATTTTCTATAGAATATGAAAAAAAAACAAAGTAAGGTATTAAAAAGAACGATTACCGAAAAAAAAATAAACAAGAAGATTCCACTTCTAAATTATATCACTTTTATTTTGCAAACTCATTCGAATCTCATATTCGGCCACATCGCTATTAATCAACGATATAATTATATCGCTTCGACGAGCATGTAATTTCTTTGTTACAATGTGTCCCGGCCTTTTTCGCGGTTCCCTTTTGGGCGCTCGATCCGATCCACGGTCGCGAAGGAACGAGCTACACCGAGGAGATGAGGATGCGCGTGGCCGACCTAGCCCGACGATGGCGCGCGAGGTCGAGGGGAGCGCATGGACGGGTCAAAGAGGCCAAGATAAATTGCAATCTAATCCGCGAGAGTCAGCCCGGGGCCAATTACAATTCGTTGCGCGTCCGCAGGAAGAGAGGAGTGGCGCCCGTGCCCTGGAGCGAGCGCGGAGCGCTTGTACACCTTCTACCTATGAGGCCTTGCGGCAAATGCCGACGGACCGTGAAATCCTCGTCTCTTTAAAACGCGCCGAGAAAACGCGAAGATCTACGACGTCGACCGATCGGGATCGACGGCGACGACGTGTGCTATCGTCATCGGGCGCCCGCTGTCGACACGCGTCTGAAAAAATGATTTCGAGCAAATCGGGATATTGGAATCTAAATAATGTATGAAAATTATGCTCGATATTATCTTAGGTATTTGCGATCACTATGCTTGACCACGATCGATTGATACAGGCAATAAATCTTTACTTATAAAAAAATAAATATACAAAAAATACACAGAAATCAGGAAATGAAAAATGTAAGTCTAATCAATGAAAGAATAATTGAGCTATGTCTAATGTAACAATGCATTTTAATATTGATTAGGTGAATATTCTAATAAAAAAAAAAAAAAACATTTTTTTTTCAATTCTTCGAATGTCTCGAGAAAAAAATTTGCGTAATAGCTTGATTCAGACTGCACTGAATCGATCCGTCCCTGACGAGGCATCGTGGCGCGGAAATAGTGGGGGATTCGAAGATTAGAGTCGCTCCTCCACAAGCCGAAACTTCAGTTTAGTTTACTAACGGTCCCCGAGTCGCATCCTCCGTCGCGACCGGCACACGCGGCCGTCGAAACATAGAAAGAAGAAAGATAGGAAGAAAGAAATAAAGGGAACGGGGGTCCGTACGAGGGGTCGAAGTGATAACGTGAAGCGGCTGCGGCGACAGAAGAAAAATCGCGACAGGTAGAAACGCTCGCGTTTTCGCGCCAATTTTTGCGACTATTTATTTTTGCTGCGGAGATAAAACGAAAAGGACGAAAAGAGTTGGAGCGCGATAGTTTAATATGCGTTTATGAGAGATTCATCGAGGGAGACTGCAAACAGGTGAGCACTCATCACAATCGATTTATCGTGCGATATATTAAGAGAGAAATGAATCCTTAAGATACCATTTTTTTGAAAGAAAAAAATTGATAATATCTATCTCAATATATTTAACATTCTTTTTCTCTTTATTTTGTATGTTTAAAATTTTTAAAAATATTTATATTATATATAATATATATAGAAACTTTTTTAAAAATAATATTAAAAAAAATTAAAAGTGTGTTATTATAAAATATATATACTTTCGAGATTAATCCTAAAAAATTCTGTAAAAAATCCTGATTATACGTTTAGTTTTGCTAATCAATGAAAAAGAACATTATTTGGATAAAAAGATCTTTTCAACAGTTATAATTTTTAGTAACTTTTCTCAATAAACTATTATGCAAAAACCATATTTATAAATATAACCATTATTTATAAATATAATTATATAAGACTTTTTCTGGAAGAAATGCACGTGATAGATTAAATAGTTCCGCACGCACGCGATACGCGTAATACACATTGAGAGGTCGAAGGTTTTTTCTCAAGACAGACGTCTCTAATCTTGCGTACATATCTATATATATAGTCCCATATTGATAGTGACAGAGTTTAGCGATGCTATCGTATATAACGCCAGTAAATTTTTTAAAACATCACAGAATACGCAATAGAAGCTAACAATAAAAAGAATAGAATTATTGCAACCCTTTAAAAAAATTCTCGAATTATATATGTAAATTTTGACAAATTTAACCATTTTAAAATAATTATTAGTTCATGAAAGAATTAATAAGATTCTTCTTTCCTTTCACTTTACTCTTATTAAATTTTTGCGTATTCTATTTGTTTGATGCTCTATTTGTTTGATAAGCATTAGAGAGTTCTAATCTAGTTTTATGTAGTTTGTATATATTTATCAGAAGTGAAAGCATTTCTCTTGTCACATTGAATATCTGAGATAAATTTTTTGAGCATCCTCTCTAACGTTGCAAACTGCACAGTTGTTATGCTTATTTTGTGATTATCGTTTTTCAACACACATTTATTCAAGACAATGTTCGCAATAACAATAGCTTCTTATTTCTTTAAATTCTTTCCAAAATTTTAAAGTTTTTCGATATAGTGATTAAAAAATTTCGATTTCTTCTTCATTTATCAAGAATGTTAGAATATTATTTATATATTTTATTAAATTTATGATACTATTTTATTATTATAACAAAACCAACATCATTTTTTTGTCACATGAGTAATTTTTAATGAAAAACTTTTATATTGGAAAATTTCTCCATACTACATAAGATGTGGAAGAAAATACGATAATCGATTAATCTCAAGTCTGCGATATAAAGAAATCGAGAAGAATATAATTGAAAAAATACACGCGTGGTGGGAAAGATTAATAGCGTGTCTTCAACAAAAGTGCTTTTCTTCGACATTAAATTA